ATGATTGACAAACGTGTGGAAAGGCGTAAAGCAGCTTCTTTGGCCATGTGCAAACGCGTCCACCCCCGAGGATCGAGGGGAGTACCCATAGAGTCCAATAGAGGGCGGAGCCTGTGAGAGATATACTGTAACACAAGTCTAACGCCAAGCGTCTGAATTAGCACTGAGCAAAAGGGTGCTAACGCACTTAGCACATAACTCACGGTAGCAATGTGTTATACTTCATGCAATCTGCACAAACTAGATACCATATGAAAGCTGAGATTCCACAGATTCCATTGGTATAAGTATCATCACTGTGCGACCAAAACTCACGGCAGCGAAAGCCAGTAAAGACAACACACAACTTCACTTTACGGGGCCAAAACGGCAAATACGTCTTACCTTTGCTGTTTTGTGATCAAAAGTTGTGTTTAATGGCATTCAAACATTAAAACGCATATGAACGCTGCTGAAGGTTAATCCAATGTCTCTGTGTCACTTTGAAATGATTACTGATAATCCATCATCATATTTATGGCAATAAACGTATTTCACAGCTTCCGGTTTTGGGCAAACTGCGTGTGCATCATTCTAACTCCTCAATGGAAATGTTTAGATGGATTGAGGAACCTCCCCTCGATTCTATTGGCTCTAACGGTTCAAAAGAGGTGTCAATCACCAAAATCGACCAATGGGTTCCAGAGATATGGCAAATACACCCAAAGGACCCCAGAGGTTTTTTTTTTCTTTCTAAACCTCTCTAAAAAGGTCAAATTTCCCTTGTTTTGCATCAATCTTGATACAGGGTACTTATTATATGTTATAGTTTGGATTCCTAAAGCTTTTTGTCTACTATCCCATCATTTTTCTATGTTCAATCTGAATTTACTCTAAAATAAAAACATCTATATTGATTCTGACTTTTCTACATCCAATTCACAGGTGTATCATTGCTTTGAGAAAAAAGATTATTAATTTACCCCTTTTAGAATTGAAGATATAATCGTCATTTGTTCTGGGAATGTCATTTTCGAGCCTGAAACCTGAAAAACAGGCTCAGGGCTTAACAGGAAGATAAAGGAATACCTTTCACACTGATCCATCTCCTTAGTATATTGTGTTCAATCAGTGTCATGTTGATGTTTGTCATAATGTCACCCTGCTTAAGTGCTTTACAACATCTGAACAGCACACAACTTGCTCAGACTTGTCAGCAGGAGCGAGCAACCGCCTGAAGGAAAGGTCATGATGGAGCAGGAATTGGGTGTCACGAAAGGTGACTCACTAGGAGGCCGCTTCAGGATAAGGAACTCTGTGCGACTTGGTGCATGCCTTACTTTATACACACCCAGATTCAAGACACAGCTAAACAATGGCACAGATATCTTGTTCTTCATGGCTTTTTCAGTTGAAGCCCAGAGGTGTTTCAGCCTTGGGAAAGGAACAATGTTTTTTATAATCTTGTTACATCTCACACATATGATAGAATATCCGGACTGTATTAACATTATTCATGAGAAATCTTTAATAATCCACTAGTTGGCAAAAATAGAAAAAAGTAATTTGATCAAAGCAAATATCTACTAGTAATCTACTAGTAATTTTCATTAATGATAACATTAATTATGACAATTGCAATTGATTTAATTTCCTGTCTTTATCTCAGTCACACTTAGAATAATATAATGGACAGGGAAAAAAGCAATTAGCATTCATCAAATGAAGTGTAATTGCCATGGACAGATTTAATTATTGATATAAAGGGGAAAACATTTTTTAAAGGTCTCATGTCATGCTTTTCTGGTTATTACCCGTCCCCTTGTGTGTTATTTAGCTTTTTCTGCATGTAAACGGTCTGCAGAGTCACAAACCCTCAAAGTACACCCTGTAGCGAGTAAAACTCTAACACAGAAAATACCTGTCTATGCTGCCCCAGAACGCCTCGTTGGCGATTTCTCTTTTTCCATTGTTTACTTCTTGGGTATAGTGACGTATTTCGGGTATAGTAACCTAACCTAACCTCGGCGGATTGGTCTATTTGGACCAATCTGCGGAGCCGTTACGTTACGTCCGCGGAGCCGTTACGTTTGGACCAATCCGCAGACTTCCTCACACACACTCGGCGGGACGTTGCGAGGCTCGCTGCTGCGAGGAGCGGGACAGTGTGAGCTGGCTCACTGGTGTGGGGTCGGCGAGACAGCGAGACACCGCGGAACTCAGCCTAAGCACACACACAAACTCCCAGCCAGGCTGCGGGTGTGTGTGTGTGTTTCGGGCTGGGTTTCGCTGTGTCTCGCTGTCTCGCAGACGGCCACTGGGCTCACAGGGAGGGGGGGGCAGGAGCTCCAACAAGTCGTTTAGGACAGAGAGTCAGAGTTGGGTGTAACGCGTTACTGTAATAATATTACTTTTGTCGGTAACGGAGTAGTGTAACGCGTTACTTTTATAATTCAGTAATCACACTACAGTTACTAACATTGCCCCGACACGCGTTACTTCGTTACTTTTATAAAATCAGTCATAATCACACTGACAGGGTTTTCCGCCGCAGGTTTATATGTACGTAATCTGCGCGACATGCACGTCCACATCTCCACATGCAGTGCTGCATAAACATGGCAGAGTCAGCGATAACTTTCGAGGGGTGGAGGTATGCCCATTATTTTGAGTTTGTCCGAAGAATAGACAGGAATGTGACGGTGAGGTGCAAACTGTGTCCAGGCCAGAAGCTGTTATACACTGCTGCAAACACCACGTCAAACCTCAACAAACACCTGCAAAGAACACATGCTAAGGTGAAGCTAATAGCTAAGGACCCCCGAACCCAGAGTGAGGATGTTGTGAGTCGCCGCCGCCGACTCCGAAGCAGCACAAATTAGAATTTGGAGGACCGGTAACCAAAGCAGAGATGGACAGGCTTGTAGCATCCTTCATAGTAGAGGTAATGTTGCCCATTTGCACAGTGGAATCACCATCGCATTGTTCAGAGATATACTGCGCAAAATACAGATAGCAGGAGACAGAGGACAGCCATAGTCAGAGCTATCTGGATCAGTCTTATGCGACAATGGAAACTGAACTAAAGAGAACATTTGAAACTTTAGCAGTCTGCGTGATCTGCCTGTAGGGAGGGGCGGGCCGGCCCTGCGAGTAAAGTAACGAGTAAAGTAACGAGTTACTTTATGTAGAGAGTAACGAAGTAGTGTAATATATTACTTTTTTTAAAAGTAATATGTAATATGTAATATATTACTTTTTTTTAGTAACGACCCCATCTCTGCAGAGAGTGAATACACATACTATACAGAGATGCTGTATGAGAAACCAATGTGAGTTTTGAAAATTGCAAAATATAAATCTATTTTAGTATACCTCAACAATGGAATTCTGATCAGTAGACATGGGACCTTTAAATTAAAACATGATAGCTTGTTATGAGAATTATTTTTATTCTGTTCATGAAAAAGAGATCAATGATCTCAATGGGATACACCTGGATAAATAAAGGTTTGAAATGAAATGAATGAATACTTTGAGATTTTTGGAATAAGCTTATTATGGTGTGTGTGTGTGTGTGTGTGTGTGTGTGTGTGTGTGTGTGTGTGTGTGTGTGTGTGTGTGTGTGTGTGTGTGTGTGTGTGTGTGTGTGTGTGTGTGTGTGTGTGTGTGTGTGTGTGTGTGTATGTGTATGTGTATGTGTATGTGTGTGTAAGAGCTAAAGCCAGCGGGAGGATAGGTGTCAGTTAACCAAATGTCGTTTAGAGCCTCAGGGTACTTTACATACAAACCCCAGCTGAGAAATACTTTGGGGCTGATGGTGGTGACACTGTGAAGCTGGCTGACATCCAAAAAACAATATCCCCTCTCACCTGAGGGTAGTGTGGGGGGGTCTGATTAACACTTTTCAAGCTGTAATTCTGAGCCAAATTGAGAACAATTCTCTCACACATACTGTAATAGAAAAGACAAATGGCTTACAGAAAAACCATCTCCAGTAATAATTACTTGAATAATTTATTGAATATGTGCTGTTCTCAACTTGACATTTTAATTAAAGCAAATGTAGAATATGTTTTTTTTTTTGTTGAACACTTTTTACCTAAAGCAAGGCGAATACAATGAATGTATACATAATTACTATATATAACCAAAACATTTCAAATGCATTCTTTCACATCATTTTAAAATACATTTTCAAAGGTTTTTGTAAATCAGCGTGAGTGTTTAAAATATAAAACCTGTTATTGCCTTAACACAGTGTTATAAAAGTATGTGTGCGGTCAAAGCATCAGCTGTGGGAATGTTTACCATAACAATATGTACCCTTGAACACATACAAGGACAACGAATAATATTCTGTTTGAAACATTTCTGAAACATTTCTGAACAAATACCTTCATAATGCCATGAACATACAATACATACAGCAAATATTCATGGGTCAAAGTGTGAATGTGTCGCATTGTGACACAAACATCCATTTCTCTTGCATTTTTCTTTCCTGGAAAGCCACTTACATCATTTTTTGTACAATAAATTCCAAAGAGGTATTCACACAAAACATGTCTTGAAGATTCTACCTGTGACAATGTCAGCCTGTCTGCCTTGACGGGAATATTTGCTCTTCTTTGGACTGGTGGAATGACATCAGTGCTTGCAGTGTTTTCCTAGAAGAATGTGGATTTTATTAACCAAAATAAAGAAAATGTATTAAGTCAATTTATCTACAATAAGCTTAATGCTCAATGTCTGGTTCCGTTAAACATTTACAAGGACATAACAAGTGCTTGTTGCTTCCTACAGATGCATATAGAGCTGCGTCCCCACCAAAGGTTGATGGGGTCCAACACTAACAATGACGTATTCATCAAAGCCTCCTTACAGTGTGTCTATCATTATCTTGAATTCGTCAGTGTGCACTTTGTCCCTGCACAGAGCAGGGGAGTGGCTAAATGCCTCAAACAGGTTTATGGCTGCCTGTGTGCAGGTTTCGAGCCAGACCATTTTGCATGTCAAAACTGGAATCCACACCCTCCATCTGCAGACTGCTTATCAAGTTGAGACAGCTACTTGTCTTTGTGTCTCTCCAGCTGCCAGTTTCTCCAAATATTGAACAGAAGCTGAACATACATTAATCCAAGAGGGATATCCTGGGAGCAGTCAAGAGGACTTTTACAAGTTCACAATCCAGATGTAAGTTCTCATTGTGAGCATAAGATAATAGTTGTTGTTAGCATACAGCGTAAAGCTACGGCTCTTTAGGAATATTAAATGCCTCAGTTTTTAAAGGAATACTCTGAACAGTGTGATAACATGTACATAGAAGTAAATAGGCTGGGTACAAGATTGTAGTATGTGGTGAAGGTTATGGTTAAACATGCTGCAAAAATAGCTACTCTGTGTTTCTCTTAGTTTGGCATATCTATTTAAATAAGGAACAGCAGAGTTAATGCTGACTGCGAATTATATAATGTTGAATATGTAAATATATAATTATATAAGTGCAGCAACAGGGTTTATACAAGTGCCAATACCCATAAAAAAGAGATTGTAAGGGTAGAAAGTAAGTATAATACCAGCAGTGAAAACTTACCTGAACGAAAAGTAAATGCAAACTCAGCCATAAAGCGGCTATTACATCACCATTTGATCTTGTTTCTCTGCCCTTTTGACATTTAAATGTATCAGAAATGCTCGAATCTGAAAAATGTCAGCTATTTCTGTCTCACTGCATGGATAATTGGATTTAGTTTGGATTCATAGAGTCAAATATCATAACATTTATTGTGGTTTGAATAAAAGTAGTGAAAATAAATCCGTTTTTTAAACAGTTAAAAAAAGGGTTTTTTAAACAAATGTTCATTGACAGATTAAGTTAAAACACATACTACTGTAGCTGCATTTCTTTTTGTGATGAAAGTTATTTAAAACATGGTAATTTACTTTAAAGACAAATTGTGGTTTATATGTCACCAACTTCCCAAAATACTATTGCAGAATATGAAATATCAAGATATTTTATTTTACTAGTTTTATTTAACCTCACCCTAATTTTAAACCACACTATAGGTGCAGCAACAACCCTTTCGCCCTTTGGCATTCATGGCTAGTCATCCTTTAAACCTGTGAACAGGTTTAGTGTCTGAAATGATGAGTGAGTTTTCATGATGCGGCTTATTGAAGTCAATCTAGTTTTTTTTGTAATCAATAGAAATACAGGGGGTGAAATGTGCTGTATATGACTGTTAAACATGTGTTGAAGATTGAAATATTATGTTTGCATTTCTGTGTCGAACTCAACATGTTGATCCTTTTAACTTACTACTGTAGTACACACAATCCCAATGTAAACAAACACTGTAACCTTTACATAAAAGGTACAAGAGAGCATGTTAACAAGCAAGGAACTAATCAAATAGCTAGTCATTAACTGAAAAACTTAATAAATGGGTTTATTTGCTAACCTAGATACTGGTTACATTTAGAGTATATCTTTGTTCTGATCTCAAGTAACCTCTCATTATCTGCTTTAAAGGTAGGGAAGGTAAGTTTGAGAAACCGGCTCGAGATACACTTTTTGTATATATTCCATGGAATGCTCTTAACATCCCGATAGCAATGAATATCTTAAGTGCTTTGACAAAAAATCCATAACAAAATTTAATCTGTGGAAGCCGTAGTACTGTAAAAAGTACGACCAATCATTTTCCATCGGTGCACAAACTTATCTCGTGCCCTCATTGGTCATGTGCGCGTTCGTGTGTGTTGGAGGAGGGGCTCTGTAAGGAAGTGGCAGATTTTCTCCGGTTGTGTTATTTCAAATTCTAGCGATCTCGAGCCGGTTTCTCAAACTTACCTACCCTACCTTTAAGTGTGTGGTCCAGTGTTACCTATTAATTGCTACTTAGCTATTCATTTATTAGCTCTTAGATCAGGTTTGTTTCTCAGGAATCTGTTTACCTTATTGGAAGGTTTCAGTCTTTAACACTAATGCATTCTATTATGTCATACATTACATGCAAAATAGAAGCAAGGTTGTTTACTTTTGTAATCATTGCAGCTATTGTGTGATATTTACACTGCGATCAACTATACCATCTTCCCATGTATTGCATAACACTTTCATTTGCGTCATTGCTCTAACCAAGAGCCAGTCTCTCAGCATTTCCCTCTGTTATAATGATCCCTGATCCTATTACAACATGTAATTGATTCCATTATTATCCATGACAGGTCCTAATGAAACAGTCTTGAGTGATGGAGTCTCCAGAGCTTTCAAGGTTTTCGTCCTTGAGGGGAGAGTTGAAATCAGAAGATGCTATCCAACCCCACTATAAGGAGTCATATCGCCTGGCGATTGATAGCCTGGTTAATGTCGGCAGAGACAGTTACCAAGAGTTTCTCAAGGGAGAACGTATCGGCAGTTTCCTCTCAGAGGAGGAACTTCTCTTCATCACTGAAAATGCACAAAAGCTCCCACCTCAAAACAACCCAGAGGAAATCGATGGGCCACCCGACAACGAATCATCCTCAGGGACGTACTGGCCACTCCACTCGGATGTGGAAACCCCTGAATTGGAGATGGGTTGGCCGGAGGTCATGCATGAAATACTACAGACAAATATAGATCTGCTCTTTCATCCACCCAGACTAAACCACCCCTCCATCAAAGAGGTGATCCGGAAGCATATTCAGGATGCAAGACAGGTAATAAAATCCAGCAAAATATAACCCTATAGTGTCGTTATAAAGCTATATTAGAGCAGTAATATGTCTCAAACAAACCTTTTGTACCGCTGTGTTTAATTTCTTCTAGATTATGTCGTAAGCGCCTTCCCCCCTCAGGGCACCACCACAAAGCATTGTTGCCCTTAATCTTTACTGCTAGGAGTGTCTGCTGGGGTTGTCAAGAGCGAAATCTGGTTTTGCAGCTTCCCGTAATGAGAAGAAAGTGTGGGAACCGTATACAGTGCGAGCAATAGATTATAGTCATATCCATGACACAGTTAATACCTCACCCATCCAAACTGTGTCATTATGAATCATTAGCTAGTTTTGTTCCTGAGAATTGTCATGAGTAGACCATCAGTATTCTGTATCTTTACAATTTGTTACTGCTGCACTGACTCTTAATTAAACCAACTTCCAAGGCAAAGACTGAAAGGAAAGTCAGGAGACAACGAAATTCAGCTCAGAAGGCCCTAATTAAGCTATTTTTCTCTCCCGCATAATTATCTAAATTGAATGCAGAGAGAAATGTCATGGGACACAACAGCAGAAATGTCTCGTCTCTTTTGTAAGGTTGAAAGATATTCATACATGATTATCATTTACAAACACCTCTCATGCTTCATCTTGAGTGACATAAACAGGAAATTAAATGAGCGAAAAATCCCAACAGCATTAATTAGAGAGCTCATTAGTGAAAAACAGTATGATGTTTCTGATTTATAACATTTAACGTGTTTAAACCGCACTTTAACATGATGATCTTTTATTGCAGTTCATTAACATTTTAATGTATATTAAAAATATATATCTTTAAATTGGCTTTTGAATACACACATATATGTTCGGGGGAGGGACACAAATGGATTTGTTTTTATGTTTTTATGTTTTTTCTGTCTATTGATGTGCACATGAACAAGAAGATAGATCCACTAACATTAGGCAACTGTCCAAAGCAAGAAACAACAGTACAAATCCCAAATAATTAGAAACCCTGATGTCATATTATAAAGGCAGAGTAACTATAAACAAGTAGGCAGGTTTGGTTTCTTTCTGATCCAGCTTAGTACAAAGAACAGCTTTTTTCCTCTCCCTCGTCACTCTCCTTGCCTCCTCCATATATGGGCTCCTTTGCTGGGTAGAGTTTCCACATTAGCATTACTCTGTTTGTTTCAACAGACATGCTCCATGGGAATTGCGGCTACAATCTGTTTTGATGAGTTTGAAGCTATTTTGTTGAGTTGCTTTTCAGCAAAATGCTTAAAGCAATGATGCATCGTAGATGTATAGGGCTTTTATTGTGAGAGGTAAGAGTTCAGCTATCATTTTCTGTTGTTGACTGGTGCGAGATTGCAACTTGAAAGCAGACAGAATTGCAGAGTGAAAGGCAGCTTGCACTCAGCCAATCAAAACAAAGATGTTGTCACTATTACACAACCGTTACATTGTGCAATACATATATTTAAGATGACAAGTTACATTTAAAAAATGTATCTCTTGCCCCTTCAAATCGGTGATTCCAAGTTTTACAAGTGTAAGATGGTCTCTGCCCCATTGAACTGATTAGATGTTTTCGCTTTGTCCTTGCAGGTCGTTGCCATTGTGATGGACAAGTTCACAGATGTAGATATATTCAAAGAAGTTGTCGATGCCTCGATACGAGGAGTCCCGGTTTATTTGATTTTGGATGATTTCCATTTTAAAAGTTTCCTCAGAATGGCTGAAAATCAAGATGTCAAACTTCAACAACTCCGAGTAAGTATATTTGATTTAAACATGTTTTTGTTTCTTTCTCAATTGTTTTCTCACGTTATTGAATGATACATATGATAAGTGATTAAAAACTCTCAAGAAGCAAACACTTGGTGATAAACTAATTTAAGGGCAACAGTCTTTAACAACACTAATACACATACACATCTCTTTAAATGTTTGCATTGAATGAGTAACCTGGCATTTTTTTGCACACTTGTAATTCTGAACTATTTTGACATGCATACAAAGTTGTGAATGTTGATCTGAGTCTTTTGTAATAGCCTCTTTGTACTTCACTGCTGGTTTCCCCAGTAGTCTTGGGTGGAGTTATAATTGTTTTTCTGTTCAAGAAATTCTAAAGATGTAAACACACCCATATAGTTCCTGTTTGTGCATTTCACATGCCAGCTACAACCGCTAATGTAGGACTCAACCAATACAACATGTTTCCAACCTTTATATATATATCTGCACAGGGACAGCATGTCTGTTATTCTCAGATATTTGATCATTGACATACCTTCTGCTATAAGATTAATTCAACAATAATGATTTTTGACATCTTTTCACTGCTCTGACCACAGAACATGAGGGTGCGCACTGTGAAAGGTCAAGATTACGTCTGTCGATCAGGAGCTAAATTTCATGGGGCAATGGAGCAGAAGTTTCTTTTGGTCGACTGCCAGAAGGTGATTTATGGCTCATACAGGTAAATAAAACTGCATTGGTTGTGACTATTGAGGCATATACTAAATGCATTCATAAAGTGAACCACTACATTTACTGACACTCTGAATTGCTGTCATCATTTCTTATTGATCACTTTTGTAAACTTATCTATCGAGAAAATGTTTCAACACAAAACAGCTCTTTACAAAGAATCGTTTCTCAGACCAGAGAAAACACATATACATTTGCTTTTTCTCTGTAGTTCTTTGCCCTGTCTTGGTAACACTTTAATTCCTACTAGGAGTGCAATATAAAACCATAGTCTGTTATCTTGATCTGTTATTAGAGTAATAAATAATCATGTTTTTTGTGGTGTTTGTTTGCAGCTTCACATGGTCATTTGAGAAGGTGAATCTGAGCATGGTGCAGGTTATCACAGGCCACCTGGCAAAGTCCTACGACGAGGAGTTTCGAACACTCTACGCCCGCTCAACCGTGCCATCTGAACTCTGCAACGGGGAAAATGGGAGGCCGATTCTGTCAAAATCTCATTCCATTCCGAAAATTGAGCGGGGGGACCACTTGAGGCATACGCTGGACACAGTCTATCGGAAAACCTGTGAGAGAAAGCTAGGAGCCAGAGACCTCGAGGAGAGGCTCATTGAAGAGGAACCAAACAAACCTAGGCACTCGGTGGAGAACGGGATCACATTTCAGTCCCATAGGCCCCAATTTCAGCCTACAGAGACAGTAGACTACATGAAAAGGCACAGCTATGCTGGTGAGATACAAGATGGAAATGATGGATACATACCGCAGAACATGAGGCCCAGAGCGAGCAACTGGAATATCTCTAGAGAAACAGGAAATGGAACCAACCGCTACCCCATGGACAATTACCTACAAACAACACAGATGCAGAGAGGTCAAAATATGCGTCAGTCGTACAATGGCAACGACAAACAGATTCTGTCCTTGCAGCAGAACATGCCAACACTAGAGAATACATCCAAGTCGTTCATGCGCACATGGAGGATTGATTCTTACCTCAAAAACTCTGAAGTCCCATTCGGAGATTCTTGTGACAATTTAGACCAGTTTGAGCCACAGGACAAAGCTAACTCCTTCATGCAGGGAAGGATGAGATCTTCCCTTGCTTTCAGGTCCACCATACCAGAGCACACAGAGCAAAACAGATACATTAACAACTCCATTGGTGTTAACTCAACAGCAACAAACAGTCCTTTGCACCACTCATCAATGCAGTGGAATCAAACAGCTGCAGCTGGAAACAGAATAAGTAATGAAGAGTTCATGTTAAAGAGGCAAGGTTCGCAGATTTTGGATGACAATCGAAATGAGGCAATCTACAGTCCAGGTAGAACCTCTTACAACTCTGTATACGCTAGCTTAGGCAGAACTAAAGGTGGAAACATGATCAGAAACCCAGACATCATGACAGACAGTTGGAACAAGAGGCACAGTGTGGCAGATCCGAGATCAAACACTGAGTACGCGCATGAATCCTCAGGTCACATGTACGGAGCTTATACAAGGACGCAAGTTAATAGAAGCACCGCAGGGATCAATGTACAGAGTGGAGGATATGGGTCAAATCTGAAAGAAGATCAAAGATCTGCTTCTCATTACGATGTCAAGAGTATCATCGGCAGAAACAACCCTGGTACTCCCACTTGGCAGGAGCCCCCATCAAGGACTCTGTCAGCAGCAGCTCTGGGTGGGAATAGCAAGGATTTAACAGCAACATCCAACAGCATGAGTTCCCAGCAACTTCTAAAGAAAGGTTCCAATAAAATAAAATCTGCACTCAACATACAAGGGAAAAAAGAAGATTCTATTGGAATGTTAGAAACACAGAGTCTGAATTCAGGCGGCAGCACAGACACCATAACGGCTGAGGACGAGGACAGGGTATCACATGGAGGAGGAAAACTTCCCCAAAGCACAACCAGCTCTGTCAGGTCCTACTCGGAGCGCCAGAGGACGCGAATAGAGGACGACCATAAGACATCTTCGAAACCTCGATTCAGAACTGAGGAGCATCAAAGTATTCTCGCTCAACCAAGCACACACAAGAAACCGAGCATTTTTGAGAAACGCGTGAAGCCCGGCCTTGATTCAGGAAGCTTGAGCAAAGACCGAGGCCCAGAGTCTCGTCTGTACAGCAGATTTGAGCCTTTGTACTCATCTGAAAAGAAACAATCCATGCACACTACTCTGGGATTTGGAAACCCTAAGGACAAAGCCAAAGGCCTTCCCAAAGGTGACACAGCTATTGAACACCACCTCACCAGGGCTGCACGAGGGCACAGTGAAAATAAGTTTGAGAAGTTCTTTCATAGAGTGGGTAATCTCATACATAAGAAATAGTAACGTGTTTACACAGGTCACTTATTACCAATGCACATTTGATGTACAATCTTTTTATTCTTAGCGTTGGTCTTTCTTTTTGTGTTTACTCTGGAAAATGTTTTTAGAAAACACTGTTTACATGTTGACCTCCGTGTATGGTATTTTGGAGATATGCACTGATAAATACTATTGTAAGGAAAATATGTTTTGGATGAATACAGACCTTTATATTATAAAATATTTAAAGCTGTCTCTAAGTTTGTCCTCCACTGGTGTAGCTCATCTATGTGTGTGCACATTACATATTGCTGGTGTTACTGTATATTCAGAGGGTTATATGTGTTATGAATACCAATAGCATACAAACTACCCACCACTTCACACGATGAAAATACCAAGCTCAGATAGAGCTTTTTTTAATGCTGTGGGGTTTGCATATTTCTAACACCAGAGGCTATCCTCTGCAAAAGACGTCATGCACCTAAGGTTTGTGTTATTATTAATCTTAAGGCAAAACAAAATGTGCTCTACAGGCACAATGAAAAAATGCAATACACATTCTCAATAGCCTCTCAGGGATGACTAAAGTATTTCCTCTTTCATTTCCTCAAGGTGACAGATTTAAGCACAGAGAAACATGGCCTTCAGCGTAAAACACATGCATACACACAAGGGATTCATCTCTTTCATTCATAAATATTTCGTCTCCACAGTAAATGACTTAGCATTACAACTGAGTATTTAGCTGTATTTTAACTGAAACTTAATATAGCTTGCCACCAGCCAGTTTCCAATTGGTTCCTTGTGTTTTCCCGCAGCTATATTTTTTGGGCTTTATTGGATTAAAACAAAAAAAAACATGAATGATGTTGAATGTGTTTCTTCCTGTCTGCCATCTACGGATTAAACCATGTAAATGATATGCTGATTTTATACTAGAGTTCATTCTAAATGTTTTGTCAAATGATGCATTCAATTAAATAAAATGGAAGTGACAATCAGGGAAATTTGTGACAAAATTGGGATCACAGACAAAACGAAGAAGAAGCATCTTGGCTGATGTCAACCAGAACATCTAGAAGACTAATCACAGCTATCCGATCTGAAGGGTGGAAGAGTGATTGTGTCAAATGTGTTGATTATTGAAAGAAAAATCAATATATAAGGATCTGCCCCCTGGAATCAGAGCTCCCTTAAGCTCTCAATAGAGACGGTTTGACAAAACAAAAGTCTTCCAGTCTAGTGATTATTAAAATAACATGTATTGATGGTGGTAGACTAAATAAGGTCCATTTAGTGAAAACACATACAGTACTCAGAAATGTCATTATAAACTCTCACAAAAAAACAAAACCAAACAGCCAGGCTCACTTAACATAATTGATGGAAGATAGAAAAGCATGGCTAAAGACTAGAAGGGAAAAAGTGTATCTAAATTATTTATTTATACCGCTGGATGTTCTGTGTTTTTGTTTTTCTGTGAGTTTACCCAATTGTTTATGTAAATAGGGTGAAGGGTGAATAATTGACCAAGACTTTGAAGTGTATCCATATCACTGGGCAGATAAATGCATGATTTTTCATAGAATGTTTTCATAGAAACAACCTTGGCATGAACATGTGAGAGCCTTTCCAGCAGGCACACACCTCATACATAAATGGCTCTGAAAATTACAGTCATTAGTAATTATGGTGTATTCATTTCATTGTAGTTAGTTTCTCTGTGCAAGTGCAGTAATGTGGTTGGATTCAGTTCTTCAGCATCTGTTCAAGTTAAACTCCCCTTCCATCATATAAGTAATGAGTGAAAGATCCAAATGCTGACCTGTTTTTAAGGTAAAATCAAGCACTAATAAAGTTTAAAAAACAATGTAGGACACAACATTGAATACTCAATATTCTTTTGTCATTCAATCTATATAATCATGCCATTAAAATAGAGAAGCTTATCAAACAAAGCTTCTCTGTAAGGACATTCAATTTCTTCCTATTTCCCACATGCCCCAGCCATCACTAAACACAATATCCTGCCTGCTACCGCTTCAGTCGCATGGCTTCATAAAGGATGCTGAGGTTGTTTTTTTATATATATTATAGATCTAGACATTATTGCGGTACATGTTTTTTGATAGATAATGTTGTGGTGTCCATCAATTTGAAAGTAAAGATAAAGATAACTTGTATAAGTGTGTTTATAAGGGAAAACACAGGAATGTATGCATTTTGTATAATAAGAGAAATAACTAATAATAATAACTAAAAACTCTAGGTTAATATCAAAACATTTTTTTTATTTCTTTAAGGAACTATTCCTCTCCACTTCTCCCACAACCAACTGCACAGGACCTGCTCCCAACCATACGGTTTCATACACTTTTACGGTAGATAGCACAGCCAATCTTTTGTGTGTTCTTCATCCATAGTTACGTGATGAAATAAAACATTTGTGTCTGAATGCATACCTTGGGGAAGGACACAGTCTCATTCACCTCAGGCATCAAATCTGAAAATCTTATTTCATTACGCTTTGTCAGAGATATAACTTTAATCTATGTCCTCCTTGCAAACTGACTTCCATTCAAAAGCACAGAAAGATATCTGGATTTAGTTTTTCTTAAAAGCCAGAGGAAGCTGAATATATATTCTAAGCTAAGACGTAAACCTCAAAAAGGGGCAACACAAAGCCTTTACATTATAACATAACTTATTTATGAAGCACAGGCAGCATATGAGGAGTTATGTTTTAAAATCACCTGAACAGGTGCCCTCACTTTCACAATTCTGATCCATTGCATGCAAATAGCCGCACATAAGGCAGTATTATTATGTACAGTACAGGGGTTTTTTGTGGAGCTGAATTTTCAGGTGCAGCGGGACTTCTGCAACTCCATCCCTGTTTGGATATTCTTTCCTATGACGGGATTCCCATCATATTAAAACTAATCCTACTCTGTCTTTTCATTTCCACCATACATGTATAGCTTGAAGAGATACAGCAATATATTCTCCAACAATAGCTTCAAAATTAAGTGATGCAATGCATACTGTAAGACGTCCTCCTCCGCCTCCACTCTGTCAGCTACAGTAGTTATGGCTTTGATGGCAGTCTTGAGCTCAGTACAAACTGTAAGACTGAACTTTTGGGATGTACCGACCTAAAGCATATCTCCAACTCCCAAGACTGAGCCTGACAATGCTGCTGGCATTCCACTGAGCCTCATTGAAATGCAGCTCACCTTTGGGGTGAATAGATTACTGATTGTATTGCAAGCACCGATGGAGGGAGGGGAAGGAAGCAAGTAAGCTTGCACAGTCCCTGTCTGACCACTTTACATGTTGGCATTTAGCAGATGGCTGTCTCTGCAATGGAGGACATTTCAAAAGGACAACTAATAGAGTTTGCTTCTTTTTGTGTGCTAGGCACATTTTAAAATAGTCTCGAACATTATTGCTGAGAAAAAGCAATTTTAGGTATATCCCAATGACTACTGAGCTGTTTCAACAATTCAACAAATCCTTCTGCTCACATGAAACCATTCTATACATTTACTCTTTTTCTCATTATTCACAATAAATGTACTAACATTTAGATTTTTTTAAGACCTATTCTCCCATCAAATAAAAAATACATTACATTTTGCAGGATCTTACTTTACAATTGCAGTGTTATTAAGTGTCTGAGATTGCACTAAAATGAGCAATGAAAAAGATAATGCAAAAAAAAATCATTGGGCAAAGGTCGAACAGAACAAATACTAAGAGAAAATACAGTGAATGTAGCATGTACAATACATACACCCAGGACATCTCACACAGTGGATGTTATATTTGATATATATATTGTTAAGATCCTGTGTGGGAAGCATTTCCTGCTCACTGATGGTGCCTGGATATCAAGTGCAAGTGTAATTCAATACCAACACACAATGTAAAAAAAGGTTGATAAATAAATGGATTTCAATAGAAACACTGATATGATTTCACAGTTGTTTACAGCATGATACTACAGTTAAAGCCTTTTCATACCTTACCTGCAGCATGATCTCAGCTCCACATTTCTACAGCCTTTTCACACAGCCATTCCTTTCAGATAGTTGCTAGTTCAAACTTAGGATATAAGGTCAAATACAAAATAATAATGTCCTGGCCTGATTGTATATTATTCAGTTTTTATTTATTGGAAAGTTTTGTGGAATACCTTCCTACCTTCTTTAATAATTAATTGAATGTATGGAGTTTCATATATTCATCTTTAGAGCCTTAAGACATACATCCAACTGAATATAGAAATAAATTGCTACCTATTTGTGATCATCTTCTTTCACTGTGCTTCATTTGATCAGCGGAGAAGAGGCAGAGCGCTTGACTTCAAACTCAATGTTGAGTTCTTTTCATCATGTCACAATACCTTAGTGGGACGTATTTATCAATGGCAAACACACAGGAAAGGTTGAGGATCCTTGTTTTAAGTTTCATGTCAATCCATCACAGACATACTGGGCCACAACAAACAAAAATCCCCACAGACCGCAGCTGTAACAAATGTGCTGTGCTTCAGGAAGGATCAGCAATTCAACAGGAAGATAAACGGGGACTCTGTTCTGACAGTATTCATATAAAACTATTGATTAAAAATTCTGAGAAAGAAGACCTGGAGTTCTTATTATTAACAATGCCATGAGCTTGAAGATAACATATTTACAGAAGACTCAACCCTTTCAGAAAACCATAATGAAGAAATCAATAGAATCTAAAAGGATCTGGGATTCTCATTCAGAAACAAACCAAACTGTGCTGTCATGGAAACCATGAAGGGAAATAAGACATTAAATGGACATGTCACTGTGAGAGCAGCCTGTTCATTTTCATTTCTGTGACACAACTATTAAAGGGCAGTTTTCCAGGCATCATTCTCGTCTCCAGTCCTGCTGGGTGAACTCCAAGCGACTTTTATCTGCACTGTGTTAACATGTTTGTTATACTGGAGGATTACTAATGAGTTCTGCGTTTTGCTGTTCTCAGTCTCAGTCATGTTTGGATCTCAGTCATATTTCATAATTACTAATGAATTAGAAGGCTACTACATGTTTGGATCTCAGTCATATTTCATTTCTGGTGTATTTGTCAGGGTTGAGTGAAGCAGGCAGGACCCAAATGCAGATTTCCAAGATAATTCCTTTAATCCAAGGTAACAAAGTAGAAGACAGAACACTACCCTGTGACACAGTCAAAGACACACAAGGAACCAACCATGACAGACAGAAAAACCAGAACTAAAATACACACAAGACCAATCACACAAACAAGACACAGGTGAGGAGGGAGGAGAAAACACAGGGGCACCAGGTGAACACAATCGGGCAATCAGGCAGGAGGGAACACAGAGACAGGAAGCAACAGGCAAGACGGGGGTGAACACTTTTCAAAACAAAACAGGAAACCAAAGACAGAAAAAGACAAGACAAAACACAACACAGACAGATCGTGACAGTACCCCCCCCTCAAGGGACGGATCCCAGACGTCCCAAAAAGTCCCCAAAAGTCCAAAAAATTCCAGCAGGGTGGGTGGAGGGGGCCCGGAGGAGGGACGCACAACCAGGACCAACAGGGTGGGTGGAGGGGGTCCGGAGGACGGGCCCGGAAGGGGTCCCGGGCGGACGGCCCGGGGGCAAGGCAGAGTCCAAAAAGGGGCGAAGGCCACAGCGGGCGAACTCAGGGGCCCGGGCATGAGAGCGAAGGCAGTGGTTGGAAGAGTCAGGAGGCCGGGCTAGAGGGCGAAGACCACGGCTGGGGAACTCAGGAGGCCGGGCTCGAGGGCGAAGACCGCGGCACTCAGGGGGCCGGGCAGGAAGGTGCTGACGGGA